TCTAATTATTCGCAAAGCATAGTCTCTTTTTTGGTTAATTACTGATTCCATTTCACTTGTTTTCACTCACAGTGAAAGGTATATGCAATGACATCTAACGCTAAGGTTGGTCAGTTGCCTAATGCTAAGCATTGCCCATAGTTACCCATAGAATTAGCATGAGTCCAATAGATTTAACATTACCCATAAGATTAGCATTGCCATAGACTTATCATTGACCATAAGATTATAATTGACATAGCCTTATCATTACTCATAGGATCACCATTGACATAGACAGCATTAGTCTCATAGGAGTAACATTATCCATAGAATAACATTAGTCCATGTTAAAGTATTGACATAAGCTGGAATCCCATGTTAAATCCCATAAGGTGAATTATGGTTAAAAATATCTTAATGTTAGCTTTAAAAGAAGTTTAAATACAATATTATATTTTTAATTTTTAATAAAAGTATTAAATAAGCTATGATGAATTGTAATGTTTTTAAGTTTGAAATAAATTGTAAAATTGAAATCTAGAGTATATTAGCGGAACCGCCGTCGATGTGTGACACAGATATCGACGATTTGATACAACACTCTCACGACAACCAAAGCAATGATGACTTTCCATCTGAATATTGCGATGACTTCGAAGAATATGAATCAGATTTCGAGGAAGAAGACGAAGAAGACAACGACCACAACAGCAAACAACACACTCAACACATATCTGACGAAGAAGAAGAAAAAGTTGATTCTCCTTTACAAGATGGTACATTTCACAANTCAACACATATCTGACGAAGAAGAAGAAAAAGTTGATTCTCCTTTACAAGATGGTACATTTCACAAGTTCACTCTGATCATTTAATATATGATTATAATTGCATCATTTGAATCATAACTTATATAATATAACTTAAATTAAATTGAATTTATATTAGATTCAAAACAAGTGAATTCTGGTCTCCAATCAATAGAAAACATGCCTAAATTTGATAAAACTTATCAATCAATTACTGAATCTGTAAAAAGTGCTAAAATTCGTTCAGAAGTGGAACTGAAGAGAAATGAAGTGATGAATAGGAGTAAAGAACTGCTGGAAATAATCAAACTTGATAAAATATTCTTCACAAATGTTGATTTGCCACCAATTAATTACGATATGTTTATCAAGACATTTGGTCGCAAAGACGCAAAACAAGTCTCGTGTCAGACCATTGATCGCGAAGATAACGAAACACAAACCGATTCATTGGAAATGTGCACAAAATGGACACAAAATCCTTCGGCGACGCGATTAGTGGCCGGAAATGAGAGCCAATTAAACGATAAATTGTCTTCGAATTCATATCCAATTCCTAAAGTAAATGCATTTGATTTGCTTAAGTTTCTTAACAAAAGTCAAACTATTATGACTGCAATCTTTGACACGGAATACAACAGTAGAAACTTATATAATGCTCGGCGAGTATTACCCAAAGGTATGATTTAAATGAGTTAATTGCAAACAATTATCAAATTAATTATTCTTGTATTAAGGGAGTGAACGCTTCTCTACAAACTTAAGGACAATAAAATGCTTGCCATTAGCGAAGAAGTGTCCAATTGTTTACTCGTTTTGCAACACTTTATATTTAT